TCAGGATGCAAATCACCGTCCGCGACTGTTATATGCGCAGTGGACACCAAAATCATGGAGTCCGAGTCGGCGACCGGGCTGTACGATAGCCTGATGCGAAACGTGATGGAGGACGACACTGGCGCCTGAGGCGGCCATGACTGGGCAACCAGAGGCCGAAGACGTGCAGAATTTCGTGCGAGACGGAATCAGCAGCAAGGTCGACAGCAGCCCGCCCCGGTCTCCGGCAACGTTGAGCTCAAGAAAGTACTCAGGCGCGCGAGCCATGCTGTGTACACGTGTTTATCATCCTCTCCTCGCGAATTTGCACAACACCGCCAACTGCGCTTACAAACACGCCGGAATGTCGGATCGAGACACACGCCGAACATACTGAGCAGGGAAAAGATGCATTCATGCCATCCGCGTCTCAGAGTACAGTCACGATTGCGATCCGTATCGACATATGCGTGAGGCAAATAGAAAAATAAAAACAAAGACCTAGTCCTACACTCCACCTAACCACGTTGATGCTATGTACAAATCAAGACCTCTCGCCACGGAGGCGGCGGGCCAGCGCAAGATCCTTGGGTTGACTGCACTCCGAGTCAGCGAAGACATCAAACAAAAATACGCCGAGAATGACTCACATAGTGACGCGCTTTGCGTGGATGGCAGCGAGATTGGTGTCCTCGAAGAGGGACACGAGATAGGCCTCAGCAGCCTCCTGCAAGGCCATCACAGCAGAGGACTGGAATCGCAGGTCAGTCTGCAAAGGGAAAGGAGCCACTTGAGTCAGTCATTCGGGACCGGGCGCCACACAGCCTGGATCGCACCTTGAAGTCCTGCGCGATCTCACGAACGAGACGCTGGAAGGGCAGCTTGCGGATAAGGAGTTCAGTCGACTTCTGGTACCGACGAATCTCGCGGAGAGCGACGGTTCCAGGCCGGAAACGATGGGGCTTCTTCACACCACCAGTAGCAGGCTGCAGCAATATCGTAGGTCAGTCAACGGCCACTCGACAGACACAGGGGCTCATGACATACCGGCGCGGTCTTGCGCGCGGCCTTGGATGCGAGCTGCTTACGAGGGGCCTTGCCTCCGGTGGACTTGCGCGCGGTCTGCTTGGTACGGGCCATGGGGACGGTCTCGGGCGATGTGCTGGAGTTAAGGGAACGAGTGCAGCGACGGAGCGCGGGTAGTGATGGTTCGGGGCAAGAAGGCGACGGAGATGGACACGGCGCGTCCGCTGCTTATATATGACCGACGCGTGAGGCACACCACGTGATTGAACACCACGTCTGTGGCTGTGCCGTGCGCAGGTCTGTGGCCGCTCGGCGGGTTGGGACTCCTGCTTTTACCCGGCATGTTCTTGCGTTTTTTTGTGTCGTTCGCAGCTTAGCCTTCTCCAATCTTGATTTCAACTGGGTTGCACCCGGATGTAATGGCGCATTCCATTTGCTTCCGGCACCGCTGATAACGGCGGCGGGCTCGTCAGCCCGTCAGCCAATCTGTACCTCGTCAAAATCGACGTCACCCCTGAGCCAGTCGCCTTAGGCTCAGTTATACTCATCCACCACTTTCACTGATCAATAACATTATCAGTCGCTCAGTTTTGTCTCCCTTTCAACCGTTCAACTTGCCCTTCACTCTGAGCTCTCATGCTGTCCACAAATCATCATGCCGCTCGCGACAGCTATCTCCGAGAAGAGGTCGCCAAAGCCCAAGGCTGCAAGCCGATCTCTGATTGGTGCAGATTATGTGCATCCGACGTCGCAACTCTATGCGAGTCATCCCAGTCAAAAGTATATATGGCCAGCTGACCGTGACCCATTGGCAGGTGTCGTCGCGTTTTTCATCTGGTACATTCTGTGGGGAGTGCCCCTGACCGCCCGCCTTTATAAATGGGTCAGATCAAAGTATTTCTCCTGTGCATCTCCGGACGACTCTACGTATATCGATTTGGAGAAAGCTTCTGATATGCGTAAGTTAAAGCATTCACGACGTGTCGTTGAGTCTGCTGACCATCTCCAAGCTAATGAATCCCTCGATCCGTACCTCGTCCAAAGCCCTCTTCTCGACACATATCTTCGCAGCAAGGAAGAACCGTCTGCCCCTACGCCTGCCTACACTCCCTTTGACACCTCCGATGATGGTCTCCACGCAGTCTATCCCAGTTCTCCTGCAGTCTTCTCCTCTTCACCCACGTTCGACCCTGCTATGTCGCCTATCGCTCACTCTTCGCCTCCGCGGATCATAGTTCAAGCTTCTCATTCATGCCCGACTACTCCTGCGTCAACAAGCAATCTGTCCGAGCTCACATTCTTGCAGTACTATCAGTCCAATTCGTGTTCGTCTCTCGCTCCACCGTCCCCTGCGCTCCGGTCCCCTTCCAAAATTGCTCTGTCAATCTGCAAACCCCAGCTCGCGATTTGGTGAAAGTTTGTTATTATCCACTTCTTAGACGAATATTTTGCGCTATGACACGTATGCTGCCCTTCATTTTCATCATGGATTGCTCTGATGCATATATTGTGGATTAGACTCTCAAACATCACTCAGTGTTCCAGCCATTACCATGTATTTTATCGACATGACTTGTATCTGTGTTGCACGGAAATCTCCTGTAGCCCTACTTCTCAATGAACGCATGCATACACGTTGCAGAGTCCTCCCTGTGCGATAGCTTATCTTCGTCTTCAGTCACACCTGCACCAGCCGCAGGACCTTCTAGCAAACTCATGACATCGTCACTTCCGTTACCTTCTCACATCTATTTCTGGCGCACCGTTTCTATATGCACGACATCTATCCGAAAATTCGCCATTCACAGTGACAGGACCGCAGCACATCGGAAAGGAACAGAGCTGTGTCTTCTCATATGCGCCTCACGCTTCGAGCATGGCTTCATGATCTCAGCATCAAACTGCGCAGAACGATTCAATAGGGTCCTTCATTCAGAACGGATGCTTCGTTCCCCTGACGAACAGCAAAACCCGTACGTTGCTAACATTCGTCGCACGATGTGCGCTCACCATCGTTGCCAGCATCCAACAAAGGCGTCTTGGCGTCGTAAACAGCGATGCAACCACCCACTTCGTATCACATCTCACTTCTATTCGCTGACGTCGCGCCTTCTCACAGCCGGACGCGAGCCGGACGCGCCTATCGCAGCATTCGAAGAGTCGGTAAGACGCCCAGGCGCGATCATGCAGAACGCCGCACGTGCTCTGACACGCTGCTAACGCGTGTCTCGCTTATATGTGCGCCTACCGCCCCCCTGGGCCCGCACAAGTACTCGGGCTCGCTCTCGCGCTGTCCCCCGCACTCTCGTGAGTCGTCTACATAGCAACCACCATGTACTTGACGAGTCCCCATGGTACGTCTTGTCATCATTACCCCTGGTGTCGGCACCGAGAACGAGCGCCCGGCGCATTCATATGTATGATATACCGCGCGCTGACTGTGGCGTCCGCTGTGCAGGCTCGGGCTACCATTCCCTCGCTGCGTACGGCGCGCGGCGCGCGGCGCGGAACCCGCCCGCACCGCCGACAAGTATCCCGCTCGACGACGCATTCGACGCGGTGACTACGGAGGTGCCGACGGAGTGGACCGCGGGCGACGGCCACCGCGACTACGAGGAGTCCGTGACGGGCTACCAGAACTTCGTGCGCGAGATGGAGCGCAAGCTCAGCCGTGAGCACGAGTACTTCGAGACTGCGTACCCGAGCCCCGTCCCCCCGCCGCGCGTGAGCACGAGCGCACAGAAGGTAAAGGAGAAGGCGAGGGAAAAAGAAAATGCGAGAGTGCGCGGTTCCGTGGTAGAGGGCAGTATCCACCGCCGGGCAAGCGTCGGGCACGCTGCGTCCCCGGAGATTGTGCGGCGGGTCAGCGGGCGCAAGGGCCTGATCGAGCTCGTCGAGCACAAGGTGATGGAAGATAATTCTGAGCGCACAATTTCGCTTTGGCGCGAGCGCGTTGCGCAGAGCAGTGCGGAGAGCCCGTTCGCGGATGACCAACGGAGCGTGGCGAACAGTCATGCGCACCGGAGGATGTCGTCGTATGACTCGCGCGACAGAAGGGGACCCAGCGACAAGACGAGGAAAGGGGAGGTCGTGGCGAGGAGCAATGTCCGGAAGGATGCCACCGTGTGCAAGCCCAACAAGCACTCATACGAACGGAGCGAGGTAAGCCAACAACTTCTGTGCAGTGGCAGTCGTTAATCTCTGTGTCTTTATAGTATATGGTGACGTATCGTCAGCCCGTCCAGGGCAACAGCTATTCGCAAGCCATGTACGCCCATTCGGAGATCGGACAGAGTACTCCACGTAGCCCGACCGCCATCTTCAGTCCACCACGACAGAAGGTAGCATTGCCAACGCCGCAGTCACCATCCATCAGACGCACGTCTGGAAGGTCAACTTTCGAACGCACCGAGGTAATCTTCTTCCCGCTGTGGTATGTACCAGCCGCTGACAATAATTGACTGCAGTATATGGTCACCTACCCGAACACACCGCCGAAGAGTACTAGCAGTCCAGGGAGCTCGCCCAATGCTGTGCCGCAGAAAATTGCAGGCGCGCCGCATGAGCTTCCGATGTCGCCCTCTGGCAGACGACAACACTTCCCAATGCCCACGGGTGCATCCAATTCGACGAGAGCGACGTCAACGTCGTCCGTCGAGCTGATCCTCTCATCATGCGAGCCGTCGTTGCTTCATATCGCGCCTGCTCTGATGGAGCTTGGAATCTACCGGACGGAGCACTTGCGAGCGGTGGCGAGATTGAGCGAAGAGACTCGGAATCGAGAAGTAAAGGAGCAAGCGTTGAAAAAAGGGGTTACAGTGATGGAATGGGCTATATTGCTGGACAGATTACTCGCGCTGTAAAACGGATCCAGGTAACTGTGATAAGCGCATGGACATATCAGAAGCCGGAGCGGTACACGAGGGAGATGAACTAGGACGAAACAATGGGTTGTCCATGGCAAACAAAAAGGCAAAGCATTTGGTACACTACGATGCTCGGAGAGGGGGTCGAACCCTCGACCTCAGGATTACCCGCATCGTGCGGTCATACAGCCGTATGAGACCTGCGCTCTAACCAACTGAGCCATCCAAGCGATGTGGAAGATTCCTCACAGCACTATATAGACACAGTTATACATCGACTTGCTCCTCGGTCCATCAGCGGAGGTGCAGTTGTTCGCTCTGCGATGCTGTTCTGCCCCAACTGCGCAAACTTGCTCGTGATCTCTGCAGAGACAGGCTACAACAAGTGGGCCTGCAACACCTGCCCGTATGAATTCCCCATCACCAAGCAGGTCTGGTTAACAGCCAATCGATTCAACCCGTACTAACGACGACTGCAGATGACCTCACGGACGAAGCTCAAGCGGAAAGAGGTTGACGATGTTCTGGGCGGCGACGAGATGTGGAAACATGCAGATGCCACTACTGGTGAGTCTTGTATTTGTTCTGGTGCGGACGTGCTAAAGCGCACCTTGGCGTAGTGACCTGCCCGAAGTGTGATCACAACAGAGCATACTTCTACCAGCTGCAAATTCGCTCTGCTGATGAACCTATGACAACGTGTACGTCTTCATCGTATTTTCTCGTTCTTCTTTCGCTCATCAAGCCATTTTCGCAGTCTACCGGTACGCTTCTCACTGCCTTCTCCTGCCGTGCTGTTTCTCACCGGAACCCTGTAGATGTGCCGCTTGCGGGCACAACTGGCGAGAAAACTGATATACCTCGGCGGTCACCGTGTACGTTAGCTGTATCACCCAGGTACGTGTGGCGACTCCTGTTGGGTATCTACCCCTGACCTTCAAGTCCAGATCTTTCGAGCGGGCAATGATGATAACTTTCCTGGCAGTATGGCAAATAAGCAGTCTAATTTCCTCCGCTGGAGCTACAAAAAGGAATTCTCAGTCACCCCCGCTGAAGGACAATTCTCGCACGATCAGGCTAGACTCTGGCCAACTCTTCGCTTGCTGCCACCCTTCCCTTGGCTCCGCTCCTGCCGTTCAAGAGGTTCAGGATCAATTGGATAGAACGCGACGGAACAGGTGGCGGGCTATTCCGATAGTCGCCTATCCTCCATGACCATACTCATATTGTTCAAATATTATCCGCTGAAAGTTGTCTTCTAAGGTGTGCACTCATGAGTATACGGACGCTGATGAATTCTGCCTGCAACTCCAGATATGTCAGTGGCACTCTTCTTGTTGTCTCATCCTGGTCGCTGCACTCGAGCACTTCATTTGGAGGGCCATACAAGGCCTCATTCCGCACCACTAGCTTCGTTCTGCGGCGGCGTCCTGACTTGTGCAAGTTCTGGTACTCGTGGACAATCATCTGCTGCATTTTGTCGAGAATCTCTTTCCCCCGGTGTCTGGATTCCTAACCGGATCACTGCAGTAGGCCTTTGACTATAAAAGCCATTTCGTCCAAAGAAGTTCCCTGTCCCACATGAATATCGTAACTTGTTCTCTTAGTCGAGGTAGCCATAACAACGCCACCGGGTGGGGAGCCGTTGTCGACCACAAGTCGTCGCTGCGGCCTACTCAAACGTTCATGCACGTGTCTTTCAGTGGCATTGGGCATTTAAGTCATGCCACAGATACTCCCTCCTATCTGCCACACCTTTCCCGCTAACTCTTCCAGCCTGGGTCAATTAAATCTATTTCAGACAGGCGTGCCGACAAATCGACGCAAATCGACTGCTGCCAGCAGACGGGGCAAGAAGGGCAGGGTGTCCGTCATTGCCAGCACGGTCGCAAATGACACATTACAAGCAAGTCAAGACGCCGCGCCATCTACCCTCGTCGAAGGAGAGCTTGCGGGAAGTAACATTACATCCAAGGAGGACGAAGTCAATCTTGTCCCCACAGACCACAATACTGATAGCAATACGGGTTGTAAGCAAGCGGACGAACAACGTGCAGTAGTGGGCGCCACGGACAGCACTAGTGAGAATAGCCTGCTGGTGGGTGGTTGGAAGACCCTAAGCAACACACCGTTGGACGTCCTGATTGAGGTGAGCGTGCCGTTTCCACTGGTACATGTGGGGTGGAGCACGCTAAACTATCATAGATTATACTGCGTCCAGGGTCTGCGTAAGCTGGAATCTCCCATCAATATTGCGACCGTTCCCCATGTGTATGACATCGTATTTGACAACCTGGATGCGCCGGTACATTATCCTTAATTCAGCCTGCCTTCATAATTATGACCTTTCTGCGAACAGTTGCCTGTATATGGTAATTTCATCCGGAAGCCACTCTACTATCACGTCGGAATTGAGCATGCATGGTCGAAGTTCACGCCATCTGCATGGGTGTGAGTCTATATTATCCATCCTGGATGTCACTATATTTGCTACGTCACTGCAATGTTGAATCACTCGCTTGAACGACTGTGCAGTATTTCTATAACATTATAAAGTAGTGCCTAGCAGCAATTATGCTTGAACAAACTCTCTAATTTCTCGCTCTGCTGATGATTTATGTCCGATACTTGAAGCGGCATGGCGTACTTGATAACCGCAGTACCGGGCAATGTACGAGGTCGAGCAAGAATAAGGGATTGTAGGCCAATAGAATGTACTGTATTTATATGTTGGGGTCATTCAGATCTCCTATGTGACACTGCTTCGAAACTTGATCATTACAGCTGTTTTTCGTAATGATAGGCACACCTTGGCGGAAAATTTACATATAGGCGGGATCCACTGGACTCTCAGGAGCGCCTGCCGCGACGTCGCCGTCAGCATGGGATGCGCCTCAGCCAGGGGGCAGCCAATCGGCGGGCTTCCCGAAGGGCAGCTAGATCCCGCCATCAGAAATGCTTTTGTCAGGTGTGCTTATCATTGTGAAAACAGCTGTAGAACTATCGAGAGGGCTAATCATATTCTCGCGATAATACTTCTTAAATGTATGGACATTGCGAACGACATTAAACTGAGACTTCGAGACACATCTCCCATCGGACCACTGGATTATGGCATGAAGGCGTGGTAGGTCTTCTGATTCGAAAAGGGGCAAAATATAACAGACCAGCACTGTTTTACAACTGAAAAAGGAAATTGAGCGACTGGGGGCAACTCTGAGTGGACGACTCGTCGGCAGCATTGTGGCTCATGTGAAATTCATGCATGATGCGCGCTTGTGGATCTACAGTAGGCGCCTTCGGGATGGTTTGCGCCATGTCTAGAGGACTACTCCTGGAACTGGGACACCTCGCGACGGCATCGGCTAGAAGCATAGGTCGCCATATAATTTAGTAATGATAAACACTTTTAGTAAGTCGACTTCCTGCAGCTGCCAGCCAGTCTCAGTTTTACTAATACCCATCGAGTGGGCTGTTGCAGCTGGCCATCAGGAGAACGTCGTATTTGCTTTCGAGCACTTTGTCGCCTTCTTTGTCGCCTTTGCAGTACGCGAAAGGCTGCAACAGCGGGCGGCAAGACGTAAAAGACTCAGGAAGCACGCCAAGCCAACGCGACATTTTCCTGATGCAGCCTGATGTACAGCATGTGCGGTTCGCATACAGGACGTGCACTCTACCATCGGGTGAACTGATGCGCTACAGAGACTACAGTGTCGATCTGCACGACTCGCAGTAATACCGCTGACAACGTGTATGCCGTACTGGGTCTTGATCGGGTGGTAGTGTCTGCGACGTGAGAGTGTGCCGACGAGATCCGATGCAGGCTTCCTTGTCACATGTTATACTGAGAAGATCTTCCAGGGCACCATACATCGTGTTCAAAGCCTACTGATGTCCCGTGGCTTTTTCTGGCAGAAAGTGGCTTATTGAAGACTATGTAGCCGGGTTTCGGGCCTGCGCTGCGTACTCCAGTCTTCGTGCGACCGCCCGGCTACGTTGCCTCATTTCCATACGGAAATGACCTTGCAGCCGTTGTCTCTCCGCTCGTATCGCAAGCAGTGATGCTATAAAACCACCCCGTATAATGCATACTGACCTGGCGAGCCTCTTCCAGATCTCTTCGCACTACTCAGTCTCGACTCTCCATCTTCATCGTTATCAGAATGATGCTCGAGATCCTATACAGCGTGATCGCTCGGCCGCTACTACTAGCGACACTACTTCCACTGGTCTCGCTCGCGGTCATCCTCGTGCCCTACTTTCGTGACCCTCGTGGGCTGCGCTCCTACCCCGGCCCCTTCTTAGCTCAATTGACGGACCTATGGCTAGCGCATAAAGTATGGGTGGGCAACCGCTCTCCTGAAATACACAATCAGCATAAGAAATATGGTATGGGGCCACATCGTACAGCCGATCACACATGCTGATAATCTACGTCCGTATCCAGGACCCTTCCTACGCATTGGGCCAAACCACATCTCTATCGCGTCTCCGGCCGCACTCGGAATCATTTACTCTCATAGCCACCCTATGCTCAAGTCAGAGTTCTACGACGGCTTGGCTACGTTTTCTGCACCGGGAACCTTCACAACCCGCGACCGCGCTGTGCACGCGCGCAAGCGCCGCATCGTTGCACACCTCTTCGCGCCGAAGACCGTCCGCCTCTTCGAAGACGCTGTGCAGAAGTACGTAGGACAGCTCGTGAATCAATGGGATGGTATGTGCAAAAACACAGAGACCATTGTTCCTGGCACAGTCACGGCCGGGAAAATTGGTGACATCCCGTGGGTGGTGCGGGATAGCAGGGTCTGGTTCAATTGTATGCCATGTAAGCTCGGTCTTCGTCATGATGGCATCGTTCAGCAAGCTGATTGACTTACAGGGCTGAACTTCCTTGCGTTTGATACAATCGGTGTGTAATAGGTTCAACACTTCGTCTAAAGGGTCATTGAAATCTGATCTTCCCTGCCTTTTTAGGTGATCTTGCCTTCGGTTCGCCCTTTGGAATGCTGGTCGCGGGGAAGGACACTGCTAGGATAGCGAAGTCCCTGCAGGCAGCAATGCAAAGTCTAGGAAACGTATCGAAGCCGTCAGAGCGATTGTCGGCCTACGAAGAAGAGGACATCCCTGCGATCTCATCTATCAACAGGCGCTCGGAATTCCTCGTCGCCTTCGCCACCCTTCCCATCTGGCTGCGCCATCTCGTCCGACAACTGCCTTTCTCGAGCGG